CTCAAGAGGCTGAGATCTGAAGCTCAAAGCCAGCCCAGTAAGAAAGTCCATGAGACTCTTACCTCCAAGTAACCAGCAAAATGTTGAAAGAGGAAGTCAAGTGGTAAAATGCCAGCCTTTGGGGTAGGGGGAGACTAAGGGACAGCATAAGTAACTTTCATTGCTTAGTTTAACATCAACAGGAAACTGAGGTTCAGTGACTTGCTCAGGTCCACACAGATCTATTCACTCGAATGCTAAGTCCAGCTTTGAGACCAGGATATATTAGTGTTCTAGGGATAAGGAAAGGTAGGATAGTTGAAGAGGAAAAGCCAAGACAGACCTCAGGGTGGCTGTCAAAATGAGACATACAACATGACTGTTGGTGGATCAGGCCTGTAATTCTAGCTACTCAGGAAGCTGAGATCTGGTTCATGGTTCAAAGCCAGTCCAGGCAGGAAAGGCCATACGACTCTTAACCTACAATTAAACACTTAAAAATGGGAAGTAGAGCTGTGGCTTAAAGTGGTAGAGTGCTAGACATGAGCAAAAAAAAGGTCAGGGACAATGCCCTGAGTTCAAGCTCCACCACCAACCAAAAAGAAGGAGGAAGAGGAGGAGGAAGAGGAGATATAAAGAAATGGAAATTGGAGGGGAAAGATATCAGAGCAAAGGGTGAAATGGTGCTTTTTGGAAGAAGGCACCTGAGGGCAGTCTATTAAAGTGTTTGTGATCCTGGAGGAGGGGCTTCAAGATTTTAGTGTTTATCCTGCAGAAAACCTGTGGGTGGGAAGAGATTTTTTTTTTTTTACCAGTCCTGGGGCTTGAACTCTGGGCCTGGGCACTGTCCCTGAGCTTTATTTGCTCAAAGCTAGCACTCTACCACTAGAGCCACAGTGCCACTTCCAACTTTTTCAGTTTATGTGGTACTGAGGAATTGAATCCAGGGCTTCATACATGCTAGGCAAGCATTGTATCACCAAGTCACATTTCCAGCAGGAGGGAGATTATTTTCTTGATTTTCTTTTTGTGGAATGGGGGAGTAGGTCAACCCAATTCAATTCAAAGCACATTTCAGACTTGGAAATGTGCTTTGGGGGTGCCTGATCCTTGCTGGCATTAGAACATTCATAGGAACCACACGATCTTTCTTAGCCATGGCTGGGCCTCCATTCAAGACCTGAGCAAGTAATGTGGAACCTGACCATCGTATATAGACTGAACAAATGGTTTGAGGCTGTCCTCTAGCCACCCTTTTTCAGTCCATCCTCACTCAGATGTACCAGAGTTGACCTGCAGGGGGGGATAACAGCTCACTTGGCCAACGCAAACTCCAACAATTACCCCAAAGCTCCTAGAGTTTTATATACTAAGAGGGTTGATTTTTTTCCAAACCAAGTTTCTGTCCTGAATATCCAGTAGAGTAAGGTCAATTGTATACATTCCCCAACATCAGTTCTCCATCTGGACCCAGGACGGAGGCCCTCCAGTTTGGGGGACAAGGCTTAAAAACCAGCATCTGAGTTTGATGACTCCTTAGAAGGGCTCAGAGAAGAGAATTGGCTGTTTCTGGAGTCTGTAGTAGTCCTAGTAGTCCTGCGTGCTAATGCACAACTCCGGGAGCAGGAGAAGGGGACTGGGAGATTTCAATGTTGTTTGTGCTTCTTGATAGCTCAAGACCTGTCAGTTCCATGAGGGAAGGACCAGGCTGGGCACCTCATACATGCCTGCTTAATGAGTAAGGGCATGAATATGTGAGTAAGCCTTGGGGCTGGGTCTGTTTTGGCTTTATCAAACCAGTTGGAGGGGCTGGGAATGTGGCTTAGTGGTAGAGTGCTTGCCTAGTATGCATGAAGCCCTGGGTTCGATTCCTCAGAACCATATAAACAATAAAAGCCAGAAGTGGGTCTATGGCTCAAGTGGTAGAGTGCTAACCTTGAACAAGGAGAAGCTTAGGGTCAGTGCCCAAGCACTGAGCCAAACCCCAGAACTGGCAAAAAAACAAAAACAAAGAACAGTTGGAGTGGGGTTCTTTCCTAAAAACATCCCTGGGGAAGAAATTGTATTCTGAGATTGGGTGCAAGAGTAGAAAAAGTGTTCAGAAAATGACATCAGGGTCACAGCCCCCCCAGAAAGATCACAGTACAAGGTCCATAAAGAGAAAGTGATCCCTAGAATTTGAAATAAAAACAAGTTAATTCAGGAAGAATAAATACAAAACATATGAGAATCCCATTAGATTCCTAATCTAAGAAGATCTGAAGCTTCAGAAATCTCAAAAGCATTCCAAATCTAATCTACACAGTGTCTTCAGAACTGGAATGTGATTGAGGAATAAAAATAGCTTGGTCCAATCAGTGGCCTCAACAAAGCTGATGCAAGAGTCCAGAGAGGATAGCAACCAAATGAGCTCTTAACTAAACCAAAAAGACGATGTGTGGGGGAGGGGAGGAATGTGCCAGATTCATGACCTCTTCCTCCCAAGGCCCCACTGGGCTGGTAGCTTCACCACTGGCTTTCAAGAGCCCAACACAGCACCTGATCCATACTAAATGGCTGACAAATATATACTGAATGAAAGAGAGAGGGAAAGAGCAGAAGGCTCTAAGTAGAGCCAGTTCAGTGATTCATCTTTTCACTGATTCCTTCTGCTGCCACATAACTTGGATTTCATGGAGGCTCTTCCACAAAGAGGATATGCTGGCCTTCAATTAGAAGCCACTTGACAGTTATGTTTCTCACTCCCCATTAATATATCTGCATTAAGCATCAGTTACATGTACTGGCCTGCTTCTACATACCCACATCCTTGTCTCATTATTGGTGGGGTGGTTTCTATTAGGGAGTCATCCAGGATTTGAATAGTCAGTGGATTACTAAGCCGTCCTACCTTTGCCAACACACCTCTTGAGCTTTAGTGTTGTCATCTATCCAATGGGGACATAATGTCCACTTCCCCAGGTTGTGGTGAGAGTTCCCCAGTGCAATGGAGGAATCCATGAACTCTTGATGGAGCACAGTAAATGTTAGCATGTGTAACTCTTTCTTTTTACTTCTCTCTCTCTTTTTGTGCCAGTACTGGGGCTTGAACTAAGGGACTGGGGAGTGTCCCTTGGCTTTTTTGCTAAAGTCTGATACTCTACCACTCTACCACTTGAGCTACTCCTCCATTCCCAGCTTTTTAGTAGTTAATTTGAATTAAGAGTCTCCTGGACTTTCCTGCCTGGTTGGCTTTGAACCATGCTCCACAGATCTCAGCTTCTTGAGTAGCTAGGATTACAGATGTGAGCTACCTGTGCCCCAGCTAACAGAGTAAAAATTTTAAATGAGGCTGAGTCTGTTTAGAAAGAGGTTTGATTCAAAGGAAGATTCAGGGACAAAGGGTGGATATTATTAGCAGGATATTGTACTAGGTGGCATGGAGCAGGAGAAAAGATGTCAAAATATAAACCCTGCCTTCAAGAACGTTATACTCAAAAGGATCCAATAAGATATCTACACAGAAAATTACAATACAAGGTAGAATGTGGGGGGAAAAAATTAAGACATTCAGCCCAAGTCCCTTGGGATGACACTAATTTCCTTCAAGAAACCTAAGGCAGGAGATCAAGTCAGGAGTTCATCTTTGGAATCATAGATTTAGACTCAGAATAGAAGAAATTGAGAGGCCTAGCCGGCTCTGGCCCCTGCCAGGATTCCCTATTCAGGATAAACTAAGACTGTTAAAACAAAAGGAAGGGCCTAAAGAAAACAGCGAGGGAAGAGGCTCTTGTGGAAAATGAATAGATGAATTCAACTTTGAGGTGCCAGGTGCTGGTACTGTGGCAACTTCCTTAACAAAAGAGACTTGAAGGCCAGGAAGTGGATGAGATCAGTGTGTCTGGAAAGAAGAGGGATAAAAACAGAAACTAGAAGAGCACCCATGTTTTATTTAGGGAATGCGAGGAGAAAGAGGAACCAGAGAAGGAGTGGCTAAAGAAAGAAGTAAGTATAGATCCCAGAACAAACACCTTGTCACAAAGGTGGAAGACCTGGAGTAACAGGAAGGGAGCAGAAGGTGGAAAACAACAGCAGTGGAGAGGGAGATTAGATCCAAATTGCCAAAGGCATTTCAATTCATGAGGGCTTTTCCTGAGACTCCTCAAATGAGGTGGATTCCCTGTGGCTGGTACATTTGGAGGCCTGGGAAAACAGGGTGGTATTCTCTAATCGCCAATATCTGGTAATCAGCTCTATAATTAGCATCATTTGGATACAGTGAAGCCAAACCTCCCAACCCTAACCAGTCCCTCCAGGTTTGGGAAAGCTGAGGAACTCACTTAGAAGGGATTTCACACTTGGCTTTCAGGGCAAGCCAGGTAAAGTCCCGTTTCATCACACATTCTAATGACTCTTCAGGCTGTCACTCTTCGTCTGGTATTACCAGTGATCTGAGTAAACCCCCTCTTGCAAAAGTTTGAAGCATTCGTCCGAAGCTGACTACAGCTCCCAGAGTTCCTGTGTGCTTCTAAGACGTTGATTGGAGGAACGGTTGGCTCTAGTGGGCGGGATCGCCCACGCCTCCCCGAGAAACAAGCATCTGATTGGCTCTGCCGTGTGGCTTTTGTGTCCCCGCCCTCCCCCGGGGACCGCAGCGGGCTGAGCAGAGCGGCTGGTGTCAGAGCCCGGCGAGCGCTGCTGGCAGTTCCGCGGCTGGGATGCTGAAGAGCGGCGGGTCCGCGCGCAGCGCCGGCCACTGCGGACTTCCGACGCACTCCGGGCCGTGAAAAGCCCCCTGCGCTGCGGCCAAACCCAGGCCTCCGAGGCTACACACTGTTCCAGAAGCCAGACTAGAAGAAGAGTCCGCCACAGCAGCGGCCGATCTCTCGGATCTGGAACCCCGAGAGACACCCCGGAATTCTCGATCCTTCCCCCCGCGCCCCCCCCAGCGGCCCTGAGCCCCGGGCTTCTCCGTGCGCCGGTCCCAGGACCACCCGCCCCTCTTCCCGAGCACGAACCCTCGCTGGATCCTGGCGCACACCATGATCGTGGCGGACTCCGAGTGCCGCTCCGAGCTCAAGGGCTACCTGCCGTTCGCCCGGAGCGGCGTCGGCGGCGCGGGCACCGGAGAGGTAAGCAGCCGCCGAGCGACGCCACTCTTCCCGGAGCCGCGTTCCGAGGCTCCGGCCGTCCCGATCGGAGTCCGTGCGCCCCCTCCCCCCCACCGGCCCCGGGCTCCGCAAGGTGGAGGGAGAGGGGCGGAATGGAGAGCGCGTAAGCCGGGACTGAGGTTGCATCAACCGGCTGCCGCGGGCCTCCGCTCCCTCCGGCTGTCCCCTCCTCCTCGCCTCTTCCCCCCAGGGCTGCGGAGCCCTCCCCGGCTCCCGTGGACTCCCGGCCAATGGGAGAGACGCCTTCTGCAGGCTCTCCGGGCTTTGGGCTCTGGTCGGGGGAGCGTCTTCAAGTCCAGGCAAATCCCGGCCGGAGCAGCCCGACCACTCCTCCTCCCCGCCCCCTTCCGCAGATTCCCTTCCTCTCGGCGGGGGCTGGCGGCCGGGGGACTCTTTCTAGGATGCGTCCCTCGGAGAGCGGGGAGTGGGGCACCTGGGACGGGCCGGCGAAGGTCGCGATCCCCTTCTTGCCTCTGCCTTGGCACCTTGGGTTTGGAAGGAGGCGCGGGTACTCTGGGGGTTTGGTTTGGTCTCCAGTACGCAGGCAGCTGCAGCCCAAGCTGTAGGGGAGGGGATTGGAGGGGGGGCGGTGAGGGGAGGCGATCTTAGCTGTAGCTCTGCCAGACTAGTGCCAGTCAGGCTGCACGCTGACAAATGATCTGGGGGTCCTTCAAGTTTGTTTGTTTCGCAGAAATCCCCCCCACTTCCTCTTTTCTCCCTGCTCCCCTTCCTCCGAATCTGGAGGATTCCCTGCGGGGAGGCAGGGAATAAGGCTGGACTTAACTTAGCCCTACTGCCCACGGCAGTAGCGACAGCAAACACCTGTCTTATTTATTGAGCACCTATTTAGATCCAGGGTCCGGGTTTTTGTCTCCGTCCTCTGGACCAACCCAGCAGTTGCAAACTGAACAACAGCCCCATTTTACAGGCTGAGAAAATTGAGGCCTAAAGAAGGTTAGGGAAAGATGGCTTGTCGGTCAGTCACCAAACACAACATACCCCGTTCTTTGCCCTTATCTGGGATTTGGAAGAGCACTTGGCACTATAGGAAGGTTTGCTTTTTTCTTTGCTTTTCCAAGCCTGGAGCAGTGGGAATATTCTTTGCCAGGGCTGGAGGTTGGGAGTGTTAATCCTAAAGTATATTTCTGGAGAAATTTTCTGCTCTTCTCTGAGCCACCTTAATTCCTAGAAGTGCAACCTCCAGTGATAGATGGTTTGTTTCCTAAGTTTTCTGTTAAGTTTCTGTACCTTTGTCAGCCATGATTTAGGAGCCTCAGATGGAGAAATGGAGGCTCACTCCAGGCCTCTTCTCGGCTGAGTGACTTGGTTTCATTGTCCAAAAAATGGAAATAAAATTGTTAAAGAGAGCACTTGGGACCAGAGTGGAAGGTGCTGTTTTCCTGTCCCAACCCTCGGCTTAATTGCTGTGTTTTATTTCACTGATTGATGGAGGGGTGGATTGATTGTGCTGATACTGGCAGTTGGACTCAGGGCCTACTGTTCTCTTGGCTTTTTCCACTCAAGGCTAGAGCTCTCACTTGAGCCACACTCCCAGCTTTTTGCTGGTTAATTAGAAATAAGAGTCTCATGGAAGCCGGGTGCCAGTGGCTCATGCCTGTAATCCTATCTACTCAGGAGGCTGAGATCTGAGAATTGCTGTTCCCTATTCAAAGCCAGCCCCGCCAGGGAGGTCTGTGAGACTCTTCAATTAACCACCAGAAAACTGGAAGTGGCACTGTGGCTTAAGTGGTAGAGCGTTCGCCTTGTGCTGAAGAGCTGAGGGACAGTGCCCAGGCCCAGAGTTCAAGCCCCACGACCAAAAAAAAAAAAAAAAAAAAAGTCTCATGGATTTCTCTGCTCAAGCTAGTTTTGACCTGAGATCCTCAGATCTCAGCCTCCTGAGAGTAGGATTACAGATGTGAGCCTCCCAGCACCTGGCTACTTGCTGTGTTTTATCTTGGCCAAGTGATCCTATCTCTTGGTACAGTTTGTCCATAAGCATTTCATGGTATCCTTAAGGGTTTGTTGGATTGGGAGAATTGACTCAGAATACCTACAGAGGCCCCAAGCACTGTGTCTGGACCAGTCCTTACACAGAACATGATAACTGCATCTGAGGGCGAGCTCAGCTGCTGTCAGGCACGTTTCCCTTCTCCCAGGGTGCCTCTCAACGGGTTCTCCTGAACCTATTCCCTCCTGCCTAAGGTGAAAGAGCTGCTACTTCCTTCCCTTGCAGAGAGACCCGGGGAAGAGACAATGTGACTGGTTGTAGGTGTTCAAGGTGATCTGTCCCCTCCATTAGGGGGAGGAGAAGTGGCTTTGGAGGAAGTTACTTTTCAAAAGTGGGAAAAGTTGGTGGTGTCTGAGATAGAAATGTCTAAGATTTTTTCTCTCAGGAGAAAAGAAGCTTGCCTTATGCAGAATCCTCGATAATAATTGCAAGGGGACCAATCTGAAAACCAGTGCTCAAAGCCCAGAGGTGGGCCACCTCTCCTTCATCACATACCCTCTCTCAGGGGGTCAAGGCCGTTAAAAGTTCCCTGGTTTTCATTGCTCTAATAAGCGTTTTCTCTCCATTATAGGAGCCTTGGGGGTAATTATGTGAGTTAGGCACTTCTTGCCTTTCTCCCTGCTGGACTGTAGACCCTTTACTCCTTGCAGTTCCCTTTCCCTGTATTGTTCTTAACTTTTTTGTATGTGTGCTGGCAATGGGGCTTGAACTCAGAACCTCACATTCTCACTCGGCTTTTTTGCTGCAGGCTGATGCTCTACCACTTGATATACATTCCACTCCAGCTTTTTACTGATTAATTGAAAATAAAAGTTTCTTTCTGCCCATGTTGACTTTGACCTGCAATGCTCAGATCTTAGCCTCCTAAGTAGTTAGAATTACTGGCATGAGCCATCAACTACCGGTTTAGTTGTTTTTTGCTTTTTGTTGTTGTTGTTGTTTTTAAGTCTAATATGTGCTTGCCCTTGTTGGCTTACCTGACCCTGGTGAGCTGTCCCATCTCTATTATGCTGGACTTGAAGAGGACCATTCTGAGCTTCCCATCTCTAAAGAAGGGACAAAGCCTGCTTATCTAGGATAGTCTATAGGAATCAAGGTGATTGTGAGATCAGATGTGGAATGCTCTTAGGCCTGGTACCCAGCCCATAATGGGTATAGAAGGGAGTTGATAGCACTAAACACCCAAGGCAAGTTGGGCACCAGTGGCTCACGCCTGTCATCCTAGCTACTCAGGAGGCTGAGATCTGAGGAATGTGGTTTAAAGCCAGTCCACTTGGGAAAGTCTGTGAGATTTTTATCTTCAATTAACCACCGGAGAACCGGAAGTGGCACTGTGGCACAAAGTGATAGCCTTGTGTGAAAATGCTTGGGGACACCATCCAGGCCTAGAGTTCAAGTCCCATGAGCAACAACAACAAAACCACTCAAGTCCCAATGGATGGTTAGCAACTCCTTGTGTTAAGGCTTCCTCTCGTATAAATCCAGGCACATGTCTGTGTTCAGCCTATGGAGAGAGAGAGAGAGAGAGAGAGAGAGAGAGAGAGAGAGAGAGAGAGTGTGTGTGTGTGTGTGTGTGTGTGTGTGTGTGTAAGTATCTCTTCCCAGAAGGCAGATTTAGCAAGTGTCTATAGTTGAGTTCTGCAACTGGCAGGCACTAAATAGGAAGAACAAAGGCTGGGTTATTGCTTGGTGCCTAGGCAGATAGTGGGTGGAATTCTGGGAAGTCAGATTGAGCTGTATTCAAATCTCTAGTCGTGGGACCACTTCTAGAAGCTATTTTGGTGAAGTAGAAAGGCCCTTAAGAGCCGGATGCTTTTGGCTCAAACCTGAAATCCTAGCTACCCTGGAGGCTGAGATCTGAGGATCTGAGGTTCAAAGCCAGCCTGGGCAGAAAAGTCTTGAGACTATTACCTCCAATTAATCAGCATAGAGCTTGAAAGCAGAGTCACGGCTCAAGAGCAAGTCCTGAGTTCAAGTCCCAGTACTGGCACACACACAGAGAAAAGACCCTCAGGTGCCAGGCATTCTGGGTTCACATGGATTATTCACTCTTATTTGGTGTTTAACTTTTAAATACTCAGTCTCTCCTTGCATGCAAACTCATGTCCCCATACATATCAAATGGATGAAGATTAGATACAAACTAACTGCTTGAGCTAAAACAGTACAGAAGTTAATGTCTAAGGAGCACTTGAATTTGGTAGCAATTAACCTCTTCTTACAATTTGTCTTAATATCCCTCCTCCTCCCACTTCATTGAGTGGTCTCTGCTCACTTCTTTGATCCTGGAGATCCCCACCCTTGGCACTGTGGTGGTCTCTTTTCCTACCTGGGGCAGGTGATTGGTGACCTGTTCTCTCTGGGTTTCCCTTTCTTCATCCAAAAATGTTATCTGGGTTTACTGAATCTATGCTCCTTAGTATGGTAGCCTCCTGGCCACAAGTAGCTAAATACATTTATAGCTTGTAAATTGGACTGCCTGTAGTCACAGCTCCTCCAAAGGTGGATGCCAGTCTGGCCTGGGCTATCTACTGAGACCTTGTTTTAAAAACCAACAAGCAAGGCTGGGAATGTGGCTTAGCAGTAGAGTGCTTGCTTACCTAGCATGCATGAAGCCCTGGGTTCAACTCCTCAGTATCACAGAAACAGAAACAGCTGGAAGTGGTGTTGTGGCTCAAGTGGTAGAGCTCTAGCCTTGAGCACAGAGGGGCTCAAGGACAGTGCCCAGGCTCTGAGTTCAAACTCAAGCTACAAGACCAGCAAAAACCAAAACCAAAAAAAAAAAAAGAAAAACCAAATTAAAAAACATAAGCAAATAAGCAAATGAATAAAGTTAGATAAGGTCAAATTCAATAAAGTGAAAATTTCAGTTTATTTATTTTGCTGGAGGGTGGAGATCAGACTAGTCCCACTTCAAATGCTCAGCCACAGTGAATGACTAAGAACTATCACACAGATTAGACATTACAGATAGGAGCCATTTCATCATTTCAGAAAGTTCTAACCCAAGTGCTGGTGGCTCGTGGCACTGAACTACTCTGGCAGCTGAGATACGAGGATCAAGATTCAAAGCCAGCTCAGGCAAAAATCTGTGAGACTCTTATTTCCAACCAACCAGCAAAAGTGGAGGTATGGTTCATGTGGTGGAGCACCAGACTTGAGAGCAAAAACAAAAAAAACCCAAGAGTGGAGGCTCAGAGTTCAAGCCCCAATATTGTGTGTGTGCGCGCGTGCGTGTATGCACACATGTACACGCATGTGTCCATGCACATGTGCGTGCATGTGTGCATGGACCAGAAAATGATATCAGACTGTGCTGTGCTAGATCCAGTATGGGTCTCAAGGCAGAACACAATATGGGTGAAAGCAGTAGGTTGCTGGGGCTGTGGGTAGAGAGGGAGATTTTCATTCTTGATGAACTCCAGATACAAAGGCTTAGACTTGAGAAGTCTAATGAGTGCTTTAGTAGCTTTTACCTTAAAGTCTAGGCAGTGGATATGGAGTCAGTGCTTAGTTGGTGAAAACCATTGTTGCTACTTATTATTATTACTATTATTTTCATCATGACTCCTCACTCTAGGGAATGAGGGGCCATCTCTTGGCCGTGGGGCCCTACCATGCCGGCTTCCCCTAGACTTCCCCTGATGTCAAGGTCAGGGAAGCACTCAAAGTATTGTAACCATGAATTCTAATGGTCTGAGTGGCGTTCAGGGCTTCCCACTGTCTGTTCCCTGTGGCTGGATTGCTGTTCCCCTTTGTCAGTACTGGCCCTATTGTCTTCTCATTGATCAGCTAGCAGTTCAAAGGTCACCCCTTCAGCGGTTTTTCCTGTCTACTTCCATTAAAATATTACCCACTCACCCCCCCTCGTCCATTGTCTCTTGCTCTGTTTCATTCACTTTTCTGTGATCGGAAACTCCACTGTTTCTCTTTCTCCCTGACACCCAAACTTGTGTGAAGGCTGAGACTGTCTTTTGACTGCTATAGTCTTGCTGTCTGCAGTGGAGTCATCAAAACATTTGTCAAGCAAGAGGTGTGGCTCAAGAGGTAGAACCCTAGCCTAACAAGTGCAAGGTTCTGAGTTCAACCCCTAGCACTGCCAAAAGGAATAAAATACCTCTAAAAACATTTGTTAAATAAGTCGATTTTGATCCTACCTGGAAAGCACACAGCACTTGAGAAAGGGATAGGTGAGTGATAGAAATCTTGGTCTGGACTTGACTGTACTTTGCCAGGGGCCCCCACACAAACCAACTCAGCATTTCTGGGCTGGGACTTCAGCTGCTCAAAGGGATTCTGATGTACTGCTTGTCTGAAACTGCAGCGAGGTTAATGCTGGGGGACTTTTGTTATGTGCTTATGCTGATGTAGGTGCTGAGGTAGGCAGGGTGGCATTATCCCTTTAAACCCACGTGGCCACCCAGTGAAAGTACATACTAGTTCCATTGGTTGGTGGGGAAACTGAGGCTCCTGGTGCTAGTTTCTTTCTTTTCTTGTGCCAATATTGAGGTTTAAACTCAAGACCTCAAGCTCTAACTTGGACTTGGCTTTTTCCAATTTTTTTCCCCTTTTTATCCCAGTCCTGGGGCTTGAATTCAGGGCCTGGGCACAGTCCCTGAGCTAGCACTCTTATCATTTGAGCCCACAGCACCATTTCTGGCTTTTTCTGTTTATGTGGTACTGAGGAATTGAACCTAGGGCTTTATGCATGCTTGGCAAACACTCTACCACTAAGCCACATTCCCAGCCCCTCTTTTTTTTTTTGCATCTTTCTATTCTCTTTTAATATCTGCACACTCCAATCCCCTCCCCTTCCTTTTTTGGAGACAGGTCTTGATCAACTTGCCTGGGGGCCTGGGCTGCAGTACCTGCCCCTCCTGTGGTTTTCTCTGGTCTCTCAGGACCCCTGGGAGAGGCGAGGTCTGCCGAGTCAGCAGTCCTTATCTCCCAGGCTGAGCTGTTGGGCTTTTTCTCTGTGTGCGAGGGAGGAGGGGAGCTGGAAAGGGTGAGCCTGCCCTGGCTTTGGACCAGCCTGGCACCTCCCTGAGGTATAAGCTGAAAGGGGCCTGTATAGTCAATCAAACCAGTCCCCTCCTTTGTTCCAGATTTAGGCCCAGAAAATCTAGGAAGCTTTCCCAAAGCCATACAGTAAACTAGTGGCAGAAACCCGTACCCAAAGTCTGCCTCTCTCAGGGGACTTAATGGCCAACTGGAAAAAAAAAAAAAAGATTCAGTTACAGTTTTGAATCCCTGGATATCTGGACCCATTAAATCAATCTTAATGGTGAAGGGAGAGTTAGGAGTCCGGCCCAGTCCAGGGAACGTGACTGCTTGGCTCTAATTTGGGTAAATTATTCCAAGGCCAGTGATTCCCCTCCCAATTAACAAAGCAAATGAAGAAATAAACTTCTCCCATTTGTAGGTCTAGGAGAAACAGAGCGAGGGAATCTATGGTTGTGATGGTTTCCTATAAGATTCCACTCTACCCTCTCTGCTTTCTCTATTTTCTAATTTTTTTTTTTGGACGGGGTGTTTGTATGTGTGTGTACATGTGCTCTTTTACTTTGGCTTTTTCCCTTCAAGGCTGGCTCTCTACCATTTGAGCCAAACCTCCAGGTTTGTTGGTTATTGGAGATAAGGATTCAGATTTGTCTGCTGAGCTGGCTTTTTTTTTTGCCAGTCCTGGGACTTGAATTCTGGGCCTGGGCTATGTCCCTGAGCTTTTTTGGCTCAAGGCTAACACTCTACCACTTGAGCCACAGCACCACTTCTGGCTTTTTCTGAGTACTTTATTGGAAATAAGAAAGAGTCTCATAGATTTTTCTGCCCTGGCTGTTTTTGAACTGTGATCCTCAGATCTCAGCCTCCTGAGTAGCTAGGATTACAAGTGTGAGTCACTAGTGCCTAGCTCTGGACAGATATTCAACCCTGATACTCAGATCTAAAAGTGGCTAGAAGTACAGGCATGAGCTAGGAACTGGCCTCTTACCCAGTTCTTTTTTTTTTTTTTTTCAGTCATGGGGCTTGAACTCTGGGCCTGAGTACTGTCCCTCAGCTCTTCAGCTCAAGGCTAGTGTTCTACCACTTGAGCTACAGTGCCACTTCCAGTTTTCTGGTTGCTTATTGGAGATAAGAGTCTCTTGGTGCTGGGCACCAGTGGCTCATGCCTGTAATCCTAGCTACTCAGGAGGCTGAGATCTGAGGATCAGGGTTCAAAGACAACCTGGGCAGGAAAGACTGTAACACTCTTATCTCCAATGAACCACTAGAAAACCGGAAGTGATGTTGTGGTTCAAGCAGTAGAGTGCTCACTTTGAGCTGAAGAGCTGAGGGATAGCACCCAAGCCCAGAGTTCAAGCCCCATGACGGACAAAAAAAAAAAAAAAGTCTTGGGGCTGGGAAGGTGGCTCAGTGGTAGAGTGCTTGCCTAGTATGCACAAGGCCCTGGGTTTGATTCCTCAGCACCACATAAGCAAAAAGAAAAAAAGCCGGAAGTGGCGCTGTGGCTCAAGTGGTAGAGCGCTAGCCTTGAGCTGAAGAGCTGAGGGACAGCGCCCAGGCCCAGAGTTCAGGCCCCACGGCCGGACCCAAAAAAAAAAAAGAATCTCATGGCCTTTCCTGCCCAGGCTGGCTTAGAATGGTGATCCTCAGATCTTAGCCTCCTGAGTAGTGAGGATTACAGGTGTGAGCCACTGGAGCCCAGCTAAAACTAATTTTTTCTTTTTTTTGTCTGTCGTGGGTCTTGAACTCTGGGCCTGGGCGCTGTCCCTCAGCTCTTCAGCTCAAGGCTAGCGCTCTTCCACTTCAGCCACAGAGCCACTTCTCTTGCCCAGTTCTTAAACAGCTCAGCCTGAGCCCGCCTTCTTGCTTACTTATAGGTGACTAATCAGACAGGTGTAAATGTCCCGTCTGGTTCTCCATGCAGGATGCAGCCGAAAGATGGTTTTAGAAGAAGCTCTTCATAACTTTCAGAGTAGAGGGAGGAGGCTGGAGAGATGATAAATCCTCTTCATTGTCCCTGATGCCAATTAATGTCCATGTTTCCTCCCAGGAACCCAGGGAGAGCCGGGTTCGGCGAGGCCCTCGAGGGCCCAGCGCCTTCATTCCTGTGCAGGAGGTGAGTTTGGAGTGGGTTGGGAACCTTTTGGTCCCTGAGAAAAGAAGACATGAGGCCTTGGGTGGGCCAGGGTTTTTTCTTCCCTAGCCTTTAATTTTCAGTTTTGGAACTACCCTTTTCTATTCCTGATGCATTTAAGCCTCAGCTCAGCTATTGAGACAGGTGTGCTAGCAAACCGATTCTCCTGGATGAATAGGCTCAGAGAGAGAAGGAATCATAACACAAACTTTGTTTTTCTTTTTTGCCAGTCCTGGGGCTTGAACTCTGGGCCTGGGGCACTGTCTTTGAGCTTCTTTTTGCTCAAGGCTAGTGCTCTACCACTAGAGCCACTGCACAATTTTGGCTTTTTCTGACTAATTTATTAGAGATGAGAATCTCTGCGATTTGCTATGTCAGCCTCCTGAATAGCTGAGATCACAGGTGGGAGCCAGCAGTGCCTAGCACGATACAAACCTAATTCTCAAATTAATGCCTGTCTTTGCTTCATAAGCTAGAACTATCTGTATTTTTCTCATCCTTGCCACTTTTAAATGTCTCTCTGTGTGTATTGTGTATATTTTATTTTTTTTGGGGGGGTAAGGTTGTGGGGCCTGAACTCTGGGCCTGGGCGCTGTCCCTCAGCTCTTCAGCTCTTCAGCTCAAGGCTAGCGCTCTACCACTTGAGCCACAGCGCCATTTCCAGCTTTTTTTTTCTTTTTTTTGCTTATGTGGTGCTGAGGAATCGAACCCAGGGCCTCGAGCATGCAAGGCAAGTGCTCTACCACTGAGCCACCTTCCCAGCCCTGTATTGTGTATATTTTAAAGTAAAATTTCATTATTTTAAAATATAATGTTTGAGATTCACTGTCTCTGTCTCTCTTTATCTTTTTTGTGCTGGTTGAACTCAAGGCCAGGCACTCTCCTTTAACTTTTTGGTTCAAGTTCAAGGCTAACCACTTGAGCCACAACTCGGCTTCTGACTCAGTGCTGATTAACTAGAGATAAGAGTTTCTAGGAGGGGGCTGGGAAGGTGGCTCAGTGGTAGAGTACTTGCTTTGTATGCATGAGTCCCTGGGTTCGATTCCTCAGTACTACATAAACAGAAAAAGCCAGAACTGGCACTGTGGCTCAAGTGGTAGAAGAGCTAAAGAGCTCAGGGACAGCACCCAGGCCTAGAGTTCAAGCCCCACAATGGACCAAAAAAAAAAAAAGAGTTTCTTGGATTTGGCTGCTTGGGCTGGCTTTGATCCACAGTCTCCAGATCTCAGCCTTCTGAGTAGTTAGGGTTACAGGTGTAAGTTACAGATGCCCAGCCTTTCCTTTCTCCCTCCCTCCCTCCATCCCTTCTTGCTTCCTTCCCTCCCTTCTGAATTTGGATTTAATCTCAGCACCTCTCACTTGACTTTTTTGCTCCTGTTGGTACTCTACTGCTTGAGCTACACCTTTAGTTCCTTTAGGGTTTTTTTGTTTGTTTTTGTTTTATTTTTGCCAGTCCTGGGGCTTGGACTCAGGGCCTGGGTACTGAGCTTCTTTTGCTCAAGGCTACCTAGCACTCTACCAGTAGAACCACAGCACCATTTCTGGCTTTTTCTGTGTATGTGGTCCTGAGGAATCGAACCTAGGGCTTCATGCATGGTAGGCAAGCACTCTACCACTAAGCCACATTCCAAGCCCTCTTCCTCCCCCATCCCTCATTGGTCATGGGGCTTAAACTCTGGGCCTAGGCACTTGTCCCACAGCTCTTCAGCTCAAGGTGAATGCTCTACCACTTGAGCCACAGCACTACTTCTGGTTTTCTGGTGGTTTATTGGAGATAAGAGTCTCGTGGACTTTCCTGCCCCATCTGGCTTTGAACCGGGATCCTCAGATATCAGCCTCTTTAGTAGCTAGGATTACAATTGTGAGCCATTGGCGACCAGCTTTTTTTTCCTTTGGACTGTCATGGGACTTGAACTCAGGCCCTGAGCTTTTGTGTTCAAGGCTAGTGCTCTACCACTCGAGCTGCAACTCCACTTCTGGCTTTTAGTTCCAGCTTTTTGCTGGTTAACTGGTTAAATTGATTTATCACCCTGAGTTGACTTCAAACCTCTGGTCCTCAGCTCTCAACCTTTTGAGTAGCTAGGCTTATAGGTGTGAGCCACTAGTGCCCACCCTGGATTTTTCTTTCATACAGATACTTGTTTTCAGTAGAGAGCTAAGGTTTAAAGCTTGGTTTTCCATTTGTTTTGTTTTTTCACTTAACAGTACAACAGAGTCGTCTCTCATCTAGAGAGACAGTTCACTCATTTATTTTATTTACTTATTTTATCTATACTGGAGATTGAACCCAGAGTCTCACAGATGGTAGACAAGCATGCCACCATCCTGGCCTCTTTATTCACTTATTTCCCAGCTATATATTGAATTATGAATCTGTGTTAGGAACTGTTTCAGGGAGGATAGAGAACAAGATAGACAAAAACCATCATGGAGATGATGTGCTATATTATGTAAATGGGACAAATTCTTTCTTTCTTTCTTTCTTCCTTCCTTTCTTTCGTCGGTCGTGGGGCTTGAACTCTGGGCCTGGGCGCTGTCCCTGAGCTCTTCAGCTCAAGATTAGTACTCTACTACTTGAGCCACAGCACCATTTCTGGCTTTTTCTGCTTATGTGGTACTGAGGAATTGAACCCAGGGCCTCACGCATGCAAGGCAAGCACTCTACCACTAAGCCAACTTCCTAGCCCACGGGTTTGATTCTTCAGTACCACATACACAGAAAAAGCTAGAAGTGGTGCTGTGGCTCAAGTGATAGAGTGCTAGCCTTGAGCACAGAGAGGCTCAGGGATAGTACTCAGGCCCTGAGTTCAAGCCCCAGGACTGAGGGGGGAAAAAAAATGGAAAAGCTGAGTTGGAATCCCACCAGCTTTCTGCTAGGACTGACTTTATTCAGCATTCTTGAGATCTCAGCCTCCTGACTAGCTAGGATTACAGTCTTGAGCAATTTGTGCCTGGCAAATAGGTCAATGTATTATTATATAAGGTGCCTAATAAGCACTTATTTAACCAGTTAATGAAATACCATTTCTTCTCATTCCCTCTTTTTTGGACATGGTGGTGGTTTTTAGCCTCTTGCTACTCCTGCTGGGGCTGGGAAGGTGGCTCAGTGGTAGAGTGCTTGCCTTGCATGCATGAGGGCCCTGGGTTCAATTCCTCAGCACCACATAAGCAGAAAAGGCTGCAAGTGGTGCTGTGGCTCAAGTGGTAGAGCGCTAGCCTTGAGCTGAAGAGCTGAGGGACAGCGCCCAGGCCCAGAGTTCAGGCCCCATGACCAACCAAAAAAAAAAAAAGAATATGTTGGTCTCTGGTGGGAACCCATGTCTCCTCTCTGCTTGGCAGGTCCTGCGGGAAGGGGCTGAAAGCCTGGAGCAGCACCTGGGGCTGGAGGCGCTGATGTCCTCAGGGCGGGTGGACAACCTGGCAGTGGTGATGGGCCTGCACCCCGACTACCTTAGCAGCTTCTGGCGCCTCCACTACCTGCTGCTGCACACCGATGGGCCCCTGGCCAGCTCCTGGCGTCACTACATTGCCATCATGGTGAGCCTGTCTGGGCTTGATGCTTGCAGGGGTGGCCATGTGGGGGTTCTGTCCTTGGATCTTTTCCTAAAGGCTTCCTGAGTTGATTTCATTGCTAAGAGGAAGTAGCTTTATCTGACCATCTATAGAAGTTTGAAGTTGTGTGTGTGTGTGTGTGTGCGCGCGCGTGCGTGTGCGTGCGTGTGCGCGCGCGTGCGTGTGCGTGCGTGTGCACGCGCACACGCGCACGTTAGCGCTAGGGCTTGAACTCTGGGCATAGGCCCCTGTCCCTAAGCCTCCATGGCTTAAGGCTAGGGTGTTACCACTTGAGCCACAGCTCCACTTCCAGTTTTATTGGTGGTTAATTATAGATAAGAGTCTCCCGGACTTTCTTGCTCAGGCTGACTTGGAATCATGATCCTCAGATCTCAGCTTCCTAAGTAGCTAGAATTATAAGTGTGAGCAACTGGCACCCAGTTGAAGTTTTTTTTGTTTTGTTTCATTTGTGCCAATCCTGGGGCTTAAACTCAGGACCTGGGTTCTGTCCCTTAACTTTTTCTGCCCAAAACTGGCACTCTACCACTTATGCCATTTCTGGCTTTTTGGTGGCTGATTGGAGACAAGAGTCTCATGGATTTCCCTGCCCAAGTCTGCCTTTGAGTAGGCTAGGATTACAGGCAGGAGCCACTATCTCTTGGCATTACTTTTTTTTTTTTGTCAGTGTGAAGCTTGAACTCTGGGCCTGGGCTCTGCCCCTCAGCTCTTCAGCTCACTCTACCATGTGAGCCACAGTACCACGTCTGATTTTCTGGTGATTTATTGGAGATAAGAGTCTCCCAGATTTTTCTTCCCAGGCTGGCTTTGAACCGTGATCTTCAGATCTCAGCCTCCCGAGTAGCGAGCATTATAGGCATGAGCCACGGGTGCCCAGCTGGTTAGTTTTTTGTTGTTGTTGTTGTTGTTAGTTTAGTTTAGTTTTGTGCTGGTACTAGAGTTTGCACTCAGGGATTAGCTTTGTCACTCAAGGCTGGTGCTCAACCACTTGAGCCACAGTTCCATTTCCAAACTTATGCTTTTGAAGGGAGGCAGACTGGGTCACTGAGGTGGTCAGGAATGGGAACTTAGGCAATAATAGACAATGGTGTTTCCTTTCAAGGGGGGATCCCGCTGGAGTAGGGCACAGAGGAGGTGGGTGACCCGGGCTGTTCTGCCTTCTCCACAGGCTGCTGCCCGCCATCAGTGCTCTTACCTGGTGGGTTCCCACATGGCAGAATTCCTTCAGACTGGCGGTGACCCCGAGTGGCTACTAGGCCTCCACAGGGCCCCTGAGAAGCTGCGGAAACTCAGTGAGATCAACAAGTTACTGGCTCATCGGCCTTGGCTTATCACCAAGGAGCATATCCAGGTGCAGTGGGCAGAGGACCTGGTCTTGGAGGGAGCCCTGGGCCACAGTGGGCAGTATGGGGACAGACATTGAGAAAGTTATGACTTCCCTCCCCTCCAGGCCTTATTGAAGACAGGTGAGCACAGCTGGTCCCTGGCCGAACTTATCCAAGCCCTGGTCCTGCTCACCCATTGCCACTCACTGGCCTCCTTCGTGTTCGGCTGTGGTATCCTTCCTGAGGGGGACCCAGAGGGCAGCCCTGCACCACAAGCACCATCGCCCCCCAGTGAGCAAGGCAGCCCTCCCGGTGGGGACCCATTGAACAACTCTGGGGTAAGTCATGGGCTTGGTCTTTTGGGGGAAGGAAGGGGAAGTTGGTATAGCCTGCTTCCCTATCTCCTCATACTGAGAGGTCGTAGAAAAATTACAGACTCTGTGTGTGTGTGTGTGTGTGTGTGTGTGTGTGTGAATATATGAATATATGTGTGCATGTATATTGATCTTGGGGCTTTTGAACTCAGGGCTTGGGCACTGTCCTTAACTTTTTTGCTCTCTATCACTTGGGCCACAGCTCCACTTCTAACTTTCTGGTGGTTAATTGGAGAGAGAAATCTCACAAACTTTCCTAGTTGGGCTTTCCTAGTTGGGCTGAATCATGATCTTAGCCTCCTGAGTAGCTAGGATAACAAGTGTGAGCCCCTGGCACCTGGCAAGTTACTAGACTTTTTATTTTTTTTTTTGGGGGGGGTCTGGTCATGGGGCCTGAACTCTGGGCCTGGGCGCTGTCCCTCAGCTCTTCAGCTCAAGGCTAGTGCTCTACCACTTGAGCCACAGCGCTACTTCCGGCTTTTTTCTTATGTGGTGCTGAGGAATGGAACCCAGGGCCTCAGGCATGCAAGGCAAGCGCTCTACCACTGAGCCACCTTCCCAGCCCCCCAAGTTACTGGACTTTAACACTCAGTTTCCTCATCTATTAGATGGGAACAAAGACCCCTAGTCACCATGACCTGTGAAGATAAAGATGGTGTTCTATAACTTGCATTTTCTTAAGTAGCTTCATAGGATCAAAGTCTGAGGGTTTTTAGCAACTTTGAGTTTGGTCCGGGCACTGGTGGCTCATGCCTGTAATCCTAGCTACTCAGGAGGCTGAGATCTGAGGATCCCGTTTCAAAGCCAGCCCAGGCAAGAAGTCTGTAAGACTCTTATCTCCAATGAACCACCAGGAAAGTGGAAGTGGCGCAGTGGCTTGCATGGTAGAAAGTTAGCCTTGAGCAAAAAAAAGCTCAGGGGCAGTACCCAAGCCCTGAGTTCAAGTCCCAGTACCAGCCCAGAAAGAAAAGAATACAGCGTAGTTCAGTGGTAGAGTCAGTGGGAAGGCTCTGAGATGTGGGAAGGGTAGGTGGAGCTTTGCAGAGGGAAAAGAGGAGGAGGAGGAATCGTGACCATTGGATCTGTCCTGCAGGGCTTCGAGGCCGCCCGAGACGTCGAGGCTCTGATGGAACGCATGAGGCAGCTGCAGGAGAGCCTGCTGCGGGATGAGGGGGCCTCGCAGGAGGAGATGGAGAGTCGCTTTGAGCTGGAGAAGTCCGAGAGCCTGCTGGTGACACCCTCAGGTACAGGAATACAGGGGCTCTGCTCCCAGGGCTGGCCTCTTACACTACTGTAAGCACCTCTATGCGCCAGACCGCCTGCTATCAGAGGCGGCCACCTCTCTCCACTTCCTAGTAGAGCTCTGAGTGTAGGCCTTGGACTTGGATTCTGTCCTCTTCCTTTTGCGGGGTTGCTTGGTGATTTGAACTCAGGGACTTCCTACCACTTGCTAGGCCGATACTCTATCACTGAACTACACCTCTAGCCTTTCTCTCTCTCTTTTTTTTTTTCCTTTAATTTTGTTGTTGTTGTTGGTGGTGGTGGTTGTGGGGGCTTGAACTCAGGGCCTGGGCACTGTCCCTGCACCTCTTTGTGTTCAAGGCTAGCATTCTACCACTTGAGCCACAGCACCATTTCCAGTGTTTGAGTGGTTAAGAGTCTCATGGGCACTTTTCTGCCAGGCTGACTTCAAACCATGATCCTTAGATCTCAGCCTCTTGAGTTGTTTAGGATTACAGGTGTGAGCCACCGGTGCCTAGCTCCTGTAGCCCTTTCTCTTGCTAGTTATTTATTTATTTTTGCCAGTCCTGGGGCTTGAGCTCGGTCTGGGCACTGTCCCTGAGCTTCTTTTACTCAAGGCTAGCACTCTACCACTTGAGCCACAGTGCCACTTCTGGTCTTTTCTGTGTATGAGGTACTGAGGAATCGAACCCAGGGCTTCATGCATGCAAGGCAAGCACTCTACCACTAAGCCACCTTCCCAGCCCTCTTGCTGATTATTATTTTATCAGCCCCTTCCTCATGACTTCAGGACTGGTTAGAGAATGAAGCACTGCTTAGCACAGAGCTGGCCCAGGTTGAGCCTCTCCATAGCACTACCACTGTTCCTAGAGGCCTTTCCTCCCGGACTCAGGACCCTGGTTCACCTCCTCCCCCAGGCCTGGCTCCAGCTGAAGGCTTGCTCCCACATTCTGTAGCATGAGGCTCTCTCTGGCCCTCTATTCTGCCTTCCTCTGTCCCCATTTTGATGATTAATCCAGATGGAACCCCGTATGCGCTGCCTAGGCCTCACTGTGTCCTCTTCCTGACATGGTTCTCAGCTGATATCCTGGAGCCCTCTCCACACCCAGACATGCTGTGTTTTGTGGAAGACCCCGCTTTTGGATATGAAGATTTTACCCGCCGAGGGACTCAGGCACCGCCCACCTTCCGTGCCCAGGTAGGGCTCTCCCCAGCTATCTTGGCTGCTGATCCTGGTTTATGGATAGGCAGAGAATGGTTTGAGTGGTTACAGAGCTGAGTACCTTCTCCTCTCCAGATCCCATGAGGGCTGCCAGCTCCAGTGGACCCTGAGGGAACCCACCTCACTCTAAGAGTTGGGGGGTTCCTAATCAGAGTGAGCTGATCATCACCTTGGTGGCTAAGGCCAGAACAAGCAATGTGATTGTTCATGGGATAGGAAGGGAGGGTTGTGAAGAGCCCGTGTGCTCTGCAGGTCTAGAGGATGGGGTCTTTCTTGCCCACCGTGGGCTCCAAGGTCTCAACAATGTTCTCTTCGCGTTTTCCTCAGGATTATACCTGGGAAGACCATGGCTACTCACTGATTCAGAGGCTGTACCCTGAGGGGGGGCAGCTGCTGGATGAGAAGTTCCAGGCTGCCTATAACCTTACCTACAACACCATGGCCATGCACAGCGGTGTGGACACGTCCATGCTCCGCAGGGCCATCTGGAACTACATCCACTGCGTCTTTGGGATCAGGTGAGTTGTGGCCCTCACTCACAATGTGTGTTTGAGTCTTCGCATGCAGCTTCCAAGATAACTATAGTTGTTTTGTGTGTTTTGTGGCGGGGGAGAGGGGGTACACACGTGTGTGCATACGCACTGGGACTTCAACTCAGAGCTTCATACTCTAGTATTTCACTTAAATCTGAAGCTCCAAGCCAGGCACTTGTGAGCTCATGCCTGTAATCCTAGCAGCTACTCAGGAGGCTGAGATCTAGGGCTCTCAGTTCAAAGCCAGCCTGGACAAGAAAGTGCCTGAGACTCTTATCTCCAACTAGCCACCAGAAAACTGGAAGTAGGGCGGGGGCTCAAAGTGGTAGAGTGCTGGCCTTGAGCAAAAAGAGCTCAGGGATACACCCAGGCCCTGACTGACCAAAAAAAAAAAATGCCAAACTGGAGAACAATTGGCACCTGACTGGGTGCTATTTTCTTAGCTACTTATTTCACTTATTTTATTCCTTTACTAAAACGTGAGTGTATTTTAGTGAATTTTTCCCTTGCTTTGTTTATCTAAAAGTTTATGCCCAGTATCAAAAAAATTATCCCATTTTTTCTAAAAGGTGCATTTCTGGGACTGAAATCATGGTTCAAGTGGTAGAGCACCTGACTAGCAAGCAAGAGACCCTGAGTTCAAACCTCAGTACTGCCAAAAGAAAAGAAAATTACCTTTTTTTTTTTCTTTTTTTTATCGTGAGGCTTGAACTCGGCCTGGATGCTGTCCCTGAGCTTTTTAGTCAAGGCTAGCGCTTTACCACTTTGAGCCACAGCTCTACTTCTGATTTTCTGGTACTTAATTGAAGATGAGAATCTCAGGGACTTTCCTGCCCAGGCTTGCTTTGAACTGCAATCCTCAGATCTTAGCCTCCTGAATTTAGACTAGTTCTTGTCCAACTCTTATTTATTTATTTTTTGTCGGTCATGGGGCCTGAACTCTGGGCCTGGGCGCTGTCCCTCAGCTCTTCAGCTCAAAGCTAGCGCTCTACCTCTTGAGCCACAGCGCCACTTCCGGCTTTTTTCTTTTTGCTTATGTGGTGCTGAGGAATCGAACCCAGGGCCTCCATGCATGCAAGGCAAGCGCTCTACCACTGAGCCACCTTCCCAGCCCCTTGCCCAACTCTTAAGTTGAGTATCCTTCACTCTCCAACGTGGTCCTTGCTCCATATCTCTGTGCACTGTCAGAACTCCTGCTGTTCATCCAAATCTTCCCATCCAGATGTTGTCTACCCTAGCCTATTGGACTGGCGAGTGATAAGAGTGGCTTCCAGACTTTCCACCAGCTTGCTTGTTGACTTTTGAGCAAGTTAATTGCCTTCTTTAGCTCTTAGTTTGCCCATCTGGACTAGTTCCTCTTTGACATTACCTATATCTTTCTCTAAAGTGAATATCCACCTCCCAGCCTTTGCTGTAAAAAGTGAATATGGCCTTGGAGCCAGCCAGAGCTGGGTTTGATACCCCTTCCCTAGTATCTTGCCTTTTTTTTTTGCCAGTCCTGGGGCTTGAACTCAGGGCCTGGGCACTGTCTCTGAGCTTGTTTTGCTCAAGGCTAGCACTCTACCAGTTGAGCCACAGTACCACTTCTGGCTTTTTCTGTTCATGTGGTACTAAGGAATCAAACCTAGGGCTTCATGATGCTAGGCAAGCACTCTTATCACTAAGCCACATTCCCAGCCCCCTTCCCTATTATCTGACACCTAGGGCAAATACCTTCCCTTCTCTTCACTTCTTCACCTCAGTTTCCTCATCTGTAAAATGGGGCTGATAGTGCAATGTGTTGCATAGAAGGTATGTAGACAGTAGGTGAATTTTGAGACCTCCATGAGACGGCACCCCACACAACAAGCTTGTTCTGTGCATTGGAGTGGTTCTCTCCAAGGCTGGTGGCCTCTGATAAATGGGAATCAGCTTTTTTTCTAAGAGGAATCAGTCTTCTGGGTACTTTCTACCCTCTGATCTTTCTTGCCACTCTCCGTTCCTCCTTCTGCAGAACAAAGGGTGAGTAATTCTGTCTTTCCATCAGATATGATGACTATGATTATGGGGAAGTGAACCAGCTCCTGGAGCGAGACCTCAAAGTCTACATCAAGACAGTGGCCTGTTACCCAGAAAAGACCACCCGGAGGATGTACAATCTCTTCTGGAGGCACTTTCGACACTCAGAGAAGGTACAGTCCATAGGAGAGGAGCCAGAAAGTCAGACAGGCCCCATCCAGGGGAGGGCCAGGAGAGAAATCCACAGGGACCTACCCTGAGTCTGTCCATAGCCTCTTCTGTGATCAAGTGTCAGATTCCATTGACTCACCTACAGAGTAGGAATACGGGTGCCTGCTTCATATCATCATCAGTGGAAGGCATAGTTTCAAGTCATAAGACTCAGCTTACCTCCATTAAGCCAGGCTCCAGTGACTCATGCCTAAACTCCTTGCTACTCTGGAGGCTGAGATCTGAAGATCAAGGTTTGAAGTCAGCCGGTGAAAAAAGTCCTTGAGACTAGAATTTTTTATTTTTTTTATTTTTTGGTTGGTTGTGGGGCTTGAACTCTGGGCCTGGGCACTGCCCCTGAACATTTCAGCTCAAGGTGAGTGCTCTACCACTTGAGCCACAGCACCACTTCCAGTTTTCTGATGGTTTATTGGAGATAAAAGTCTCATGGACTTTTGTGCCTGGACTGGCTTTGAACCACGATCCTCAGATCTCAGCCTCCTAAGTAGCTAGGATTACAGGCATTAGCCTCCAGTGCCCAGCTAGAAATTCTTTAGTTGAAAAAAAAGAAAGAAAGAAAGAAATTCTTTAGTTGGCATTGCCTTAATGAGAGTCAGGGCATCTCTGAGGAAGGGATAGTGAATTGAATGGTCAGAGGTAGGGGCAGTCAGCAAGGGCTGTGGAGCACTTGTCAACCAAGCCCTGATCTGTGTTCCAGGTCCACGTGAACTTGCTGCTCCTGGAGGCCCGGATGCAAGCTGCCCTGCTTTATGCCCTCCGCGCTATCACCCGCTACATGACCTGACTTCTTCCTACACAGGATTGGTACCCAGAGCAGCTGGCCCTGGGGGGGGCACCGCCTCCCTGTAAGGACTTCTCTGTCTGGAGACAGACCAGGACCCTTTCTGTCCCATGCCCACCTGCCCTTACATGGGGGTTGGTGTGTGTGTGTGCTGTGCAGCTCCCGAGCCACACCCTCGTTTTTCCCACTGGAAAGGACAGACCATTGCACTGACTCTCAGATCTCTGCTCTGCCCCTGGGAGCTTGAAGAAGACTAGAAGATCCCTGGGGGCTGTGCCCTTCCTCCTTCTCCAAAAGGTGTAGGAAAGGAAGTAGGCTAAGTTTAGATTTTCATGCCAGCCGGTTGAGGCCCAGCCACCACAAGTGCTGTGGGCCTTCCTGGACTGGTAAGCCCCTGGCTGGTTCTTGGGGGAGAGGGGCAAAGACCCCCCCCCCGACTTAACACTCCAGTTTTGCCTTCCTCCCCTCCCATTCTCAGATTACATTACCTCCACCTGCCATTCACCCATCAATGTGAAAGTCAGGGTCACAGCGGGTCTGTGTGCCCAGTTCCCCAAAAGCCTGTTCTGTTGGGCAGCTCTAAAGTCCTCTTCCTATCTCCCCTTCCCCCCACCATGTTCTTTAGTCGCCTGAATCCTATCTCAGTTCTTTTTTGCCCTATGCCCAAGAGAGGAGCCCAAGACACCCAGAGCGCAGACTCCACAGAGAGATGGAGCCTCTATGGGCCTTCTGGGGAGGAAGAGAGTCTACCCTGATAAGTTCAATGTCTTTGGATTAATTAAGGGCCTCATCCTTGGAGCCACACTTGCTTCCTGGAATGAAAAGAGAGAGCTTCTGTCCTCAGGGGTGTTACTGAAAATGCTTGCCAAAAAGTAGAATTTTTTTTAAGTGGCTGAGGTAGCACCAGAGCCCACCCAGTAATAGGTGGATATCAAGATAAAGATTCAGACTTCCTGCCTTCCTTCTTCCCTCCTTCCCTCCCTCCCTTTGTTCCGTTGTTCCTTCCTTCCTCCTGTCCTGCCCTGCCCTGTTGTGTCCTCCTTTCCTTCATTCTTTTCTTTCTTTGTGCCAGCACTAGGGCTTGAACACTGGGCCTGGCCACTGTCCCTGAGATTTTTGTGCTAAAGGCTAGCTAGCACTCTACCACTTGAGCCACAGCTCCACTTCTGGCGGGGTGTGTGTGTGTGTGTGTGTGTGTGTGTAATTGGAGATAAGAGTCTCATGACTTTTCCTGCCTGGGCTGACTGACTTTGATCCTTGATCCTCAGGTCTCAGCCTCCTGAGTAGCTAGGATTATAGGTATGAGCCACTAGCACCTAGTGATACCAAGGGTTTTTTTGTTCAGGCCCTACCATGGGTTGGATGCATGTGGCCACATTACCATCCTCATTGACCCAGCTGCAGTTAGAGGTTGACAGCTTACTCAGTTTAGCTTTCCCAAGACCTGATGCTTTTTCCCTGGGCTCTCAGGCCAAACTGCCAATAGGAAGCTGATTTTCTTGCAAGATCTAGAAGGCCTCTGGAACCCTCCCATAAGCAACCTCTCTTGGCTGCCTGGCTGCCTTCCAAGTACACCTCATGCCATACTTCACCCATTCCAGTCCTGTCTTTCTCCTGTTCTGGATTTTAGGTGGATTGCTTGGAGACAGAAGCAGCCAAGGACTGATCCCAGGCACTTTCTCTAGCAAACAACTGTGAATTCAGACTTCTCTTGTTCTTCTAGCAGTAAATGCCTGAGCAAGGCAGGGGCCACAGTGCTGCTTCTGACCTTCCTTCCTGGGGCTGGGCAGGAGCAGAGCCTAGCCAGTGTACCACATTTCATATCCCCGTGCAGGCACGGAGAAGCAGCTCGCCCCCTTTCAGGCCTGGAAAGGCTCCTTGCAAGAAGGTGTACAAGGAAGAACGACCCCAGCAATGGTGGGGGAGGAGATGTTGAGCTTAAGGCAGGGCATGAATCCTCTGTAAATGTCCTCTGGGGTGTGTAGGAAAGAATGTCCAGTGTTAAAAGTACAGAAATCTCTGGCCTTGGCTACCAGTTCTGGATAATAAGAAATAAAGTTCACTGAGGTTTTGTTTTGTAGTTCTTGTTTAATGGGCTGTTTTCTCATTTCCTGAAGGTCATGGTTCACCATGGGGCACAGGCCGAGAGCCATGATTGCGTCATACACTTGACCTGATGGCCTCTGTCCTGCTGGCTACTTCTGCCCAGGGATTGCAGGATTGGGAACTGTGAGCGTTGCAAATCTACATCTGCCCCTTGTCTCTGCAGCTCCGCTGCCCATCTGTGGCTGTACTGTCACTGTGGAATAATAATGGCCATGTTGGGCTGGGAAGGTGGCTCGGTGGAAAAGTGGCTTGGCCTTGGCATGCATGAGGCCCTGGGTACAATTCCTCAGCACCACATAAGCAGTAAAAGCCAGAAGTGGCGCTGTGGCTCAAGTGCTAGAGTGCTCCCCTTGAGCAGAAGAGCTGAGGGACAGCGCCCAGGCCCAGAGTTCAGGCCCCACGACCACAAAAAATAAAAATAATAATGGCCATGTTTTTCTGACTGGCTGTAGGAAAGGCTGCAGTAATTCTGCAAGAAATTTTTTTTTGGGGGGTCCGGTCGTGGGGCCTGAACTCTGG